AACTGCAGGACCCTATTCCCCTTTCCACAACTTTGTTGCAAGTTTACCCATTCAACAGGAGGAAAGGCCATGAATGCAGAATCCACACACTCCTGAAAAGGACATCGCCACCTACCTCCAGCGATTCTGCAAGGTAGTGAAAGACCCAGGTTAGATCCTCGATGCTAATGGCTTCTTGAAAGTTAAATGAACTATTTTCAGGTTGAGGAAAGACCTTTCTATGGGGGAACTCCAAGACCCTATTTCTCCCTGAGATTCACCACTGGAATCCTATACTAACACTGACCAGCCACAGAGCTGCAGGGGGTGTATCAGGCTTGGTCAAGTAGGCAAGGACTGCAGTAAACCTGCTTAAAGTGGAGCTCCACCCAAAAGGGGAAGTTCTGCTTTAAGGACTGCTCCCCCGCTCCCCATTAAGGATTGGCACCTTTGGAGGGTGGGGGGGGGGGGGAGCTGGTACCGATTTTGACAGGTACCCGCTCTCTCACTTCTGGTCCGATCACCTAGGCGATCGGAAAGCGGAAGGTGTCCTCCTTCCCCGCAGTCTTTTGGGACACGTGACAGGTCCCAGTAGACTACAGGACCATTCATTAAGCGCAGTTCTACTCGCGCATGCGCGCAGTGGGTATCCGGCTGTGAAGCTGCAAGCTATTACATCCGGGTGCCCACACTGAAGATGCCGGCCTCCTGGAATACAGGACGGCCGGTGAAACAGGCAGCAGGGGACACACTGAGGGACAGGTAAGTGGCTGTTTTTTTTAAAAGTCAGCAGCTACAGTTTTTGTAGCTGCTGACTTTTATTTTTTGACAGTGTGAGTGGAACTCCGCTTTAAAGGACAATTACGTTTTTCAAAAGCACAAGCAGGAATGCATATAAACCTAGTCACAGCAGTCATCACAGACCATGGCTTATATATGTCCCCAGGGGCCAGTTCATGAGACTGAAGAGTAATTGTAGCAAGGAGTCAGATTATATTGTTCAGTCACATGCAGTGGCTAGAAGGTTTGTTTTAACAGGCTATGAGCCATGTTCTATAGAGTCCGCAAGGGAAGAAGTAGGGTCCCTAGACAGAGAATCTCTACTTATGGATAACACTCACAAGGAAAAAGGAAGGGGTACTAGTCATTTTGGATTATAATATTCAATTCAGACAAGTTGAGCGGATTGTGAAACAATATTGGCCTATACTTAAATTGGATAAACAACTTGGTCCTACGGTATGTTAATGGGCACCCCCCTAGGTTTTATATATAAAAAAGCCCCCACTCTGAGGGATAATTTAGTTCATAATGTAGTGGCCCCTCCCAAGAAGCAGGGATTTTACATTCTTTGAAGGTGAAAGGTTTTTTATGCCTGCGGACGGTGTTATAGCTGTACAAGGGTGAAGTGTAAAAATACAAGAATGGATTGTTTCAGTAGTTCTGCAACAGGGAGAGTATACCAGATTAACCACTTGAGCTCCTGAGGATTTACCGCCCTTAATGACCAGGCCTCTTTTTGCTACTCGGCGCTGCACTAATTCAACTGATAATTGCGCAGTCATGCAATGCTGCACCTAAACGAAAATTTATGTCCTTTTTTTCAAACAAATAGAGCTTTCTTTCGGTGGTATTTGATCACGTGTGCGCTTTTTATTTTTCACATCCGCTGTAAACAAAAAAAGACCAAATATTTTGAAGAAAAACTATATTTTTTTACTTTCAGCTATAAAAAAATATATAGTAAACTCAAAGTTAGTTATAAATTTAGGCCAAAATGTATTCTGCTACATGTTTTTGGTAAAACAAAATCCCAATAAGTGTATATTGATTGCTTTGTGTGAAAGTTATAGCGTCTACAAAACTATGGTATAGATACTGCAATTTATGAAATTTTTTTGCTATACAGCGCTGCACTAGTTTAACGGGGACAATTGCGTGGTCATGCAATACGGTACATAAATGAAATTTATGTCCTTTTTTTAACACAAAATAGAGCATTCTTTTGGTGGTATTTGATCACCTGTGCACTTTTTATTTTTGGCGCTATAACCAGAAAATTTTTTTGAAAATTTTTTTTTTGAAAAAAACAATATTTTTCTCATTTTGGTCATAAAAAATATCTAAAAAAACTAAAATTTCGTCATAAATTTAGGCCAAAATGTATTCTGCTACATGTTTTTGGTTAAAAAAATCCCAATAAGTGTATATTGATTGCTTTTTGTGAAAGTTATAGCATCTACAAACTATGGTATAGATAATGGAATTTACACAGCTTTTACTTTCTGACTGCCCATCACATTTCTTGAGGTGCTAAAATACCAGAATAGTACAAACACCCTCAAATGACCCCTTTTTTGGAAATTAGACAACCTAAGCTGTCTGCTGAGAGGCATATTGAGTCCATGGAAGATTTATTTTTTTTTCCACAAGTTTCTGGAAAATGACAAAAACCTTTTTTTTTCTTACAGGAAGTTGTCATTTAAATGATTTCTTTCTTGCACAAGCCATGGGTATATGTGGAATTACACCCCAAAATACATTCTGCTACTTCTACTGAGTATGGCGATACCACATGTGTGAGACTTTTTGGGAGCCTAGCCACATACAGGAGCCTGAAATCCAATGACCACACTTGAAAGCCTGAAGGTGCGTAACTTCCTCATTACCACTTCCTCACTACCTATCACAGTTTTGAAGGCCCTGAAATGGCAGGATAGCCCAAATGACCCCTTTCTGGAAAGTAGACACCCCAAGGAATTTAAAAAAAGGCATGGTGAGTATTTTGCAGATTTAATTTTTTTCTCACAAGGTTTTGAAATATAAAACAAAAATAGAAAAAATATGTGTTTGTTTTTTTTCTTAATTTTCCAAAAACTTGGGGCAACAAATGAGATCTGCAAAATACTTGCCGTGCTTTTTATCAAATTCCTTGGTTTATCTACTTTCCAAAAAGGGGTAATTTGGGGGGGTTAGGTGATATCCTGGCATTTCATGGCCTCCGAAACTGTGATAGGTAGTCTGGGAGTGTAATGAGGAAATAAAGCCCTTTAAAAGCCTGAAGGTGCTTATTGGATTTTGGGGACCTGTACGTGGCTAGACTGCCAAAAAGTCTCTCACATGTGGTACCCCGCCCATACTCGGGAGAAGTAGCAGAATGTATTTTGGGGAGTAATTCTACATATATACCCATGGCATATGTGAGCAGTAAATCATTTAAGTGACAATTTTGTGTAAAAAAAAAATATATATTTAATTTTGTCATTTTCCAAAAACTTGTGGTAAAAAAATAAATTCTTCTATTGATTCAACATTCCTCTCAGCAAATAGTTTGGCGTGACTACTTTCCAATAGGGGTCATTTTGGGGGGTGGGGGTGTTTTATGCCCAGCATTAGAAGTTTAATGCCACACATCACTCACTCTTCTAACCACCTGAAGACCAAGCCTTTTTGTTCACATGAAAATAATTAGTATTTTTTGCTAGGAAATTAATTTAAACCCCCAAACATTATATATTTTTTTAAAGCAGACACCCTAGTGAATAAAATGGTGGGTACTACAATTTTTTATGGCACATAGTACTCGCGCAGCGATTTTTTCAAAAGCAATTTTTAAAAAAAAAAATAAACTTTTTTACTTTTAATGCACAAAAACACAATATATTGGCCAATTGTTTGGTAAAATATAAAAAAGATAATGGTATGCCGAGTAAATAGATACCAAACATGACATGCTTTTTAAAACTGTGCATGCCCCGTTCAATGGCGACAAACTGCAAACATTTTTAATATCCATAGGCAGCGCTTTAATAGCCTTTAAAAGCCACCATTTTAGATTTACAGAGAAGGTCTAGTGTTAGAATTACTGCCCTTGATCTGACGTTCACGGCAATACCTCACATGCATGGTGCAACCGCTGTTTACATACCGACACAGGGTCAAGGCTTGTGCACACAGGTGTGCGCGCATGGGAGGGGCGATTTTTTTTTTTTTAGTTATTTTGATTTTTTTTTTATTATTTTTTACATTGTACCTTTCTTTTTTATTTTTTTTTAATCACTTTTAATGCTATAACAGGGAATGCAAATATCCCCTATATCTTCAATGGGCATTGTCAATATATTCTTTTTTGAGAAATCTGGGGTCTATCAGACTCTAGATATCTCCTCTGCCCTTACATTATCTAATCAAACCAAAATCGGTGTGATCAGATGCTTTCCCAATTTACAAATGGCACTGTTTATATCCTGCGAAACTGAAGTGATGAAATGCTTGTAGCTTCCGAATTCTTAGACTATAGAGATGATTGGCACCATTCTGGTCTCCAATCAGCTCCATGGTCAGCTGGCAGAAACACCAGCTGCATTCTCAGGTTCCCCTGATGGCACGGGACTGCCCGAGAAGGCCATGGAAGGCAGCGGGGGAGGGGGGGACATCATCTGCTTGTAAAAGCAATCTTGCAGCTAATTAGCCACTAGGATTGCTTTTACATGAAAGCCGATCACCGGCTGAAAAAAACGACACCAGGATGATGCCTGCAGCTGTAGGCATCATCCTGGTATAACCATTCAAATCCAGTGATGTACCAGTACATCGCTGGTCCTTGTTGGTTATATATGCTATGTTCTTTTTTTTTGTATGCAGCCCGTGGACTGAATGAAAAAATGAGAAGAAATCTCTGCCAGAAAAAGTGTGTGGTATGCCCACCATTAGAATATACCGCCCTGTGTCCACCCACTTCTAATGGTGGGACACACACATTAGGTCACACTTTGCCACAAGTGCCAGTTCCAAGGTTGAATAAATGTCTAAATAGTGGGCACGCTTGAATAAAAATTGTCCACGTATAAGTGGTACCCCCCATTTGGAGAAAGGATGACACCAAGCCCCAAACTATATTGTCACTCCTCCCCATGTAGTCTGGGCATCCGGGGGGGCTCCACGTGACTATTTATTCCCTCGTAAATCCAAAACTTATAAGTATAGCCTGTTGTCCTCTCACAGGTCTTCTACATCTTGACCCCATATCTGGCAACGCTTGCTGGGGAGAAATTGTTTGAATGCAAGGCGCCAGAAAAATTAATAAGGGACTCATCAACGCAGATGTTTTGCTGGGGAGTATAGACATCTGCAAATTTTTGGTTAAGGTGTTTTGCTGGGGAGTATAGACATCTGCAAATTTTTGGTTAAGGTGATTTGCGAGGGGCTGAATTTTGTGGAGCCGGTCAAATTCAGGGTTACCCCGAGAATGACAGAGTGTATTGTCGCTGAAATGCATAAAACGCATTATACTCCCATATCTATGCCTAGCCATGGCAGCAGAGAACACGGGCATATGATGAATCGGGTCTGCGGACCAATACAACCCGCAATTCATTTCTTTTAGTAATGCCCATGTTGAGGGTTAGGCCCCCATAAAATGTAAATTTGAAAACCGTAATGAGTTTCCATGCGAATGGTCTGGCAAAGTTTGAATTTGGGTTGGCGGCAAAAAATTGTTGTGCATATAAACTGCTTTGATCCACAATCAACATACAGATATTCCGTGAAAAACAGCTCCAAAAATCAAGGAGGTATGTGAAAGACCAAGATGTACTAGACCGCTGGTACTCGCCAGTTCACCAAAAGGTAGCGCGGCACTAGTACTGGCACTCTGCTGCATATGAGAGTCATCAAAATTTACCGGCAAGTGCTAAACAGAGATCAGGCCTGATTCTGCGAACACTGCAGTTTTGTGTGCAATGTATCAAGTGACAGTGACCTACTGACACTGCACTTGCTGGGGGAGAAGGGGGGGTAAGCGTAGGGGGGCTAAACGCAGGTGTTGGCAGGGGCTGATCCCGCTAACGCTGCGTTTTTGGGGACGCTATACTAAATGTGAACGCTGGTATAGTGCTGACCTGATCAAAGATATTGACCCGTTTCAGACACTATACTAGCAATGGAGGTTTATTGTACATGAGCGTGCTCCTGGCAATCAAGGGGTTAAATGTGATGACTGGTGTACTGACGGGCAATCTGACGCTATCTGGTAGGGGCGTGAAAACCACGGGAGCGTGAATCACGTGTGTATATATATATATTATATATATATATATATATATATATATATGTGTGTGATTTTGCATACTTATGCCGCCCTGTAGCAGTATTTCTGCTGTAGGGTGGTCAGGAAGAGGTTTGTGTTACGGCGCTGCGTTACTTTAACTGACAATTGTACGGTCATGCAACACTGCACCCAAATTAAAATTTACATCCTTTTTTTCCCACAAATTGAGCTTTCTTTCGGTGGTATTTGATCGCCTGTGCGTTTTTAATTTTTTGCGCTATAAAAAAAAAAAGGCTGACAATTTTGAGAAAAAAAAACAATATTTTGGACTTTTTGCCATAAAACGTCCAGTAAAAAAAATTAAAAAAATCAAATTTTGTCACAAATTTCATCCAAAATGCATTCTGCGACATGTCTTTGCTAAGAAAAAATCCCAATACATGTAAATTATTTGGTTTACATGAAAGTTATAGCAATTCCAAATGGCGGGAAAGATACTGGGATTTTTAATTTTTATTTAATACTAATAAATGCGGCGATCAGCGACTTATGGCGGCGATCAGCGACATATGGAGGCGATCAACGACTTATGGCGGGACTGCGGCGGACTTTTTGACACTGGGGGGAACTGACTTGGGGTCACTGACATCCCCAGTGACACCAATACAGTGATCAGTGAAAAAAAAAAAACCACTGACACTGTACTAATGGCACTGGGGAGGAAGGGGTTAACATTTTTAGAGTTTACTGTGTGAGGGGAGTGTTTTACTAGGGGGCGGGGGTGTGTGCTGGACGGGGTCAGGCTGATCGAGGGAGAGAAACTCTTCTCTCCCTGTGCAGCTTGTCACGAGCTGTCAGAGAACTGACACAGAGCAGGGCTGTGTGTAAACAATGCAGCCCTGCTCTCTGTCAGCGATCACCGTGAATCCTGGGGAAACAGCTGGTAATCACCGGCCGTGACCCGGTGGCTGACACCCGCTGCTGACACCCGCGGGACAGGTAGGGCGGGCGCGCGCCCCCTACCTGTTTTTCAAAACTACGTTTTAAAATGTGGTTTTGCCTGCCCGTGCCGCCCTGCAACCGGTTTAATGCGGTGGCTGGGTGGCAAGTGGTTAAAGATTTTATATCATGCAACACAGCAGGAGTAGTGTATAGTTTATCCTGCCCTTGTGGGCTTCAATATGTTGGATGCACCAAAAGAATGCTTAAGGATAGGATCCAAGAACATGTCCACAATATTACTAAGGGATTTCCTAAAAATTATATTTTCCAGGCATTTTTTGGACGTGCATAATAAGGACTGCTCAGGGTTGACTTTTTGGGGTATTAAAGTGTATAAAAGGAATTGGAGGGGTGATAATAAAATAAGAGAGCTGAGTTAAAAAAAGAGTCCTTTTGGATTCATGAACTTCAAACTCTGGCCCCTAGGGGGATGAATAGGGAAATTGATCTAAACTGCTTCATTACTGATTTTGTATATTTTTTGTATTTTTAGTTTAATTTTAATATTTCATTAGTTTCAGAATAATTTATTAATTTTTTAGCAATTTATATTTTTTATAAACGTATATTTGTCATATGTTTTGGTTGTGTGATGAGCAACCAAGTTTGTTATGGCTTCCGAGGGATCTAGGAGGGGGTGGACTGGTGACATCCTCTCCGCTCACAAAATTATTTTTTTTTGTAGTCTATTAGGTTCCGTTTTTGTTTTAGCACAAGAACGATGTTTTCTCTAGTAGTGCTTTTCCTGTTGATCTTTATAAAGTTGGCGCCGATCGGCTTGTATTGTCACATGTCGGTTTGGTCCACAACAAAATGGTGCATGTTCTCTATATAAGCTGAATGAATCTTGACCAGTCCAATTAGAGTCCATTAAAAAAGTCACGTGATCGGCGATGAAATGCGTCGGCAAGGAGCGTGCGGATGACGTCATAACGTTTTCATTGATCGAAACAGCGGTATATTGATCCACACACCGCTCCAGGATCATCATTATAGTAAGGCAATTGCATTATACATACAGGGCTTGTGCTTTGCCTTGCATTACACAGTGTGGTGACAATTTGGAGCCTGTATTGGGTTGACTGGTCTATGCTGCTGGGGACGATACTGCTATCTTGTGCCTTAAGAAGTACATTACTGGATGCTCATCATACCTGGTGCGGTTCTGCACCTACTGAATGTGAGTGCATTTCTTATGGTTCATTGTATAACAAAAGTTTTAAAGGATAAAGCACTATGTTGAGCTTTTGTTTGAGGAATACGGCTGACCCTTAGGCATCTGGAGGGGGCATCCATGGAGTAATCTTCTGCAAGTTGAACTTCAGAGTCCAGTACGTTTGGGACCAAAAGTGTAGTTAGACCAAAACATTGCATAATGTGAGGTCACACTGCTGGAGATGAGCAGATTTACGGTGGAGGAGAGTTTGCACTTGAATACTGTGATAGATGCACACGGTGGTCGTTATCTCAAGGAGCGTCCACAGCAGAACACCAATTGATTGGACTTTGGTTTATATAATAACAATTTCTTTTTAAGTCACTATCTATTTTTTTTTTGAGTTCACTGTCCTGTGTTTTTGGTTTAGTTATATTTTATAGGGATTTTTTGATTAGGTAGCGCATCACTTTTTTTACACTTACATTATTTCACTAGTTAGCCTACTGAGACATGGGCTGTGTGCACAATTGGCTACAGCATTTATATCATATACTTATATACTTATTTATTAATTTATATATTTTGTATTCACCATAGTAAGCATTTGAGTTATATTTATAATTTTCATTCTGCTTAAAAGGTACTGCCAGATTGCAGATCACGAAACCAAGAACTTTCCAAGGCCTGCAACCTCTGCGGAGTAACAGCCTACATTTACAAAGACTGTCTCCTGGAGACACAGATCTACGTTTCAGTCCTGAATAACAGCAATATATCAAGCAGTGCTGGAGACATGCAAAAAGCATCTCAGAGGGCCAAGGGAGAAAAGAAATCCCTTCCTACTGCTGACCTGGCCCTGGCAGCACCCCCATCTTCAGTCTATCTCCCCCCCCCCCCACCTCTGCACTGGAGGAAGCCTCCTCTCTCACCCTCATGCCTCCTATCTCATCTTGTCATGTCCTCTCGTGAGAACTCTTGATTCCACCTTACGGATCTTTGCATTCCAGTATTGACTTCCTGTTCACCTCCATGGCAGTCACCACAGCAGGCACTCCATGGTCCCCTGCTTTTTCTCTGATCACAAGGCCATTCAATTTAAGATCTAGGTGAAGGGTTCTCCTGTGACCCAAGTTCCTGGGTGCTGAACTGCAGCCTGCTAGAAAATCAGGAATTGCTAGAGGAACTCAGGGAGCCCTATGTCACATGGCAGGAGGAGAAGAGATTCTTCAGAAGTTGAGTGGCTAATGGGAGTTTTTGAAAGTCAAGCTGTGCAGCTTCTTTCAGGCAAAGGGATGCCTGCAAGTGTGTGCTAGAAGGATGTAACTCTGAAGACTTCAGCATCAGCTGTAGTCACTGCAGGACCTTCAACACTGGTTGGGATATGAGGCATGACCTGTACAACACCAAGAAGTTCCTGAGGGGGCACTACAAGGAGGAACCAAGCACATTGTCTTCCATTTCAGGGTGGATAATCTGGTAAAAGATGAGAAGTGCAACGCTTTCTTTTTCAGCAAGCTCTTCTCACGGCCTACAAATCTGTTTGAGCTGAGTGATGAGACTGGAACACTCTGGAAGGGAAAGAAGGTTGTGATGCAAGTGGTCCGTGACTACTACAACAACCTCTACTCCGTAAAATAAACCGACACATCTGCGGCCATCAGGTTCTTGTCAGGTATCACTAACAATGCTGAACCTTGAAGTTTTGTCAGCCACCAGCTCTCTCTTGACGTTGGAGGAGCACTCTGCCATCCCATCTTTTAGGCGGAGCATTGGCTGCAATGGTCTCCCAGTGGAACTCTATGTAACTCTGAGGAACTTTGTTGGCCTGGACCAGCTCAAGTTCTACAAGGAGGTAGCAGTTGGGGGTGGAATGCCTCCTTTTGCCTAGGGAGGATATGATCACAATCTTGGATAGGCAGAAGGAGGGGAGATATGACTTGAAAAACTGGTATCCCATCTCTCTTATGAACATGGACTAAAAGTTCCTCATGAAGGTACTGGCCAACTGGCTTAAGGATGTCATCGGACAGATCATCCACCCAGATCAGATTTGTAGCACAAATAGTTGCAGGTTTACAGACAGCCTTGCCCTTATCTGGGACATGGTCCAGTTCATCAAAGACTCATGTGCACGTGGCCCTTGTCAGTCTTGACCAGGAAAAGATTTTTCTTTGAAGGTCTCTTCCTCCGGTTCATGT